TGTTCGATATTTTCCCATAAATTGTTCTATAATGCTAACATTAAAGCTGATACCTCACGATAGCTTAAGTCCGGAGATCTCAGTGATAGGAGATTCTGTCTTTTCCTAGTCAAACATCTTCCACGGTATTTCTTTGGCAGCCATTCATTACGCGCTGAAAAGCGACGAAGACTATCTCAACAAAACATCGATTCGAGAATAAAAGCGCATATCCCCTCACGACAACAATTGCAAGAGGATTAAATCAGCTATCAGCCAATTGTTTCCCATGGTTCTAGATCTGTCTAGTAGGAATACAATATGTCTTCCTTTATCTGCATGGGATTGGTAATTGTCCAACGAACGAACTACATATTACGGCCTACTTACAAAACTATGCATTGTCACCAAGCAAAATCTTTTCTTTCTATGTCGCTTATGAAACTCATGATTACTATATTATTAAACCCATACCGTGATATTAAATGCGTCGTCCGCAAATCCACATCGAACATAACAGAAATTAACACAACCAGCCAACGCTGAAATTATTGCTCATCATTAATGTTCCGCAGCACAAAGTAGTACTCCTGACTTGAATTGTTACTATCTAAATGCTGAGACGTTTTCTGGCCTGTAGGAGCAAGCGACTCTCGTCTTCTTTGGACTGCCTGCCAACATAAACATGCAGAAACAGCTATAGCGTTCAGCTACTATCACCTCTTCTATTTCCACTACTGTACTAAGTTACAAACTTGAATGCACAGTTATATACTAATACTATATACATGGTGGCTCAAAACGAGAAAACCGAAACATACCTACAGGACTAATGCTAAAGACAGCAAGCAAGAACAAACAATCAACTGTATACTAGGGAAACACAGATGTTCAGCTAGCTTGACTGTAAAATTTAGTGTGGTCTTGGCTTAATTCAGTATTGCTTCGTTAAAAATGTCTATAATATTGAATTGTAGATGGTTCTCAATTCCAAACGAAAATAAATTGAAATCAGTCAGTGCGATAGCAGTTAAAAATGCTCTCAGGGCCATTTCGGCGAATGTAAAACCTATGTTTTTTATTTCCCATATTGTCGTCTTTTAAAACCTTTCCTATTTACAACAAATACCGTGACCGTAAACATTTGGATAAATACATTTCAAAACCTCCTACAAAGATGTGGAAAACACGGCGGCTGTGCAATCTCGTGACTGGAAGAGAAACAGTGACCGACCGATATCTCTGCAACTCCGTCTCAGCTCTTGTAAGCGTGCATGGCTAAATTCTAGCCAGAACCACCTTGCTGATTAAATTTTCATGTTTCACTTGAACGGCGTGGGGTACTCAACGGCATGTGCAGTCAGTCCTGAATATAATGTGCAGCATAATAAACCTCTCATCTCTGGCCGTTAAATGATACTGGCTACCTTTCAATAGTGAACTAATTCTTCCATCCAGCCTGGATTTGACAAAACCAAACACTAAAACTGCGTAAAATGAAAAATATATTTATATATTCCTTCATCATTTGCGAGAGCCATATTCAACTCTCAAAAGATCAACGTTTTTCTGAGTCAACAGGCTTCGTTTGTTATACGAGGACTGGTCGAAACAAAAACTATGAAATGGTCTAGACATGTCGACCCCCAGCCCTTTGAAAATAAGTTAAATACTCGTTGCTATCGTTTCATGACATTCCAATTTTTAATTGTATTTTCTATACAGCTTAAATTGGCCACATGTAAGAGTAAATAATCACTACTGTATTCTTGTTAAAAGAGAAATTAAACAACGAACAGTCAACTAAATACCAGTTATTAGTTCATCAGTTCGTTCAAATTGATACCGGTCAGTTGTCCAATCAGTTCTGTTTCACTGACACTGGCACAATTTCAGTCATTTTAGGCGCGAGGTTTGTGTAGTTCTGTCCTTAGTTTTCTTGTACAGTTATCATTGTAGAGGTTTATTGATGGTGCGCCGTAAATGTCGCTAATCTTTCGACCAGTCTTTCTAGTTGTTTGAGTCTGTTGCCATCACAAGAAGAAAGTGTCCACTTTTCTAGTCATAGCGACTCACTACTCCATGTATCTTCGCTGTTCGGTCTACCGACGTTTTTCGTCGCCATTCCCGGCTTAGCCGTTCATGTATAGATGTCTCAGTGCGGAGAACGACCAGTGAAGAAAACGGTTGTTTAATTATTTTGCAGATGTCAGATGTAGTCCACTGAGTCAGTCTTTCTCAGTTTTTTGTTTTCCCTTGTTGTAGGTGCTGTATTTGACGAAGTATTTTGGCCGTGATTTCTGAGGCTTAGCCATCTGAAGAAATCACGGTTTCGTTGAAATGAATCCAATGGGCGATGCAACCGATGAAGCTCCTTCATTTGAAGAAAGTCGTTCGACAGCTTTTCAAAGAAGTCCACTCTGACGGCAGCTTTATATGTGTATGGGGTTACTTGATTAGAAATAACTATTTCAATCAAAACATATGCTCAAAAACGGCTAACAATGAAGTAAAGCAAACAAATTTGAAGCATTTATCTTGGCATACATACTGAGAACTACGAGAAATCGAAGTTGTGTTCCAGAGTTTCTAGTCGACCAAATCCAGGGCATCGTTGCGAACCAAACCACTATGTGGCATCGGATAGTCAGTTGACCAAATCTTTAGACATTGCGCAGTGGCTTTCCAAATGGTCCCAGTGCTTCCATTTCACCAGCGCGGGATGACGAATGAAGCGTTTTTCAGGTCCGGAGCAGGGTAAAATGAGGCAAGCTAGCAACAGCTGCCAGCACGATCCGACATCACCAATTCACATCGAAGACTTGTGAGCATCATTGACCTCGCGTGAGAGTCATGCGATGCAGCAAATGGCAACGAAACGCCACAAAAGGCATCTGTCAATGACGAAATCCGCCTCAAAACAGTGCACATACAGTATAAAAAGCTAACATAGAATTTGTTTTAGATACACGTGCAGAAAGTTCACGTGTAGCGGATCCGTGACATGGTTTAAGCAGGTGATATCATATTCTTATCGGTGAACTGATGAGTTATGTCAGGGTAATAGTTTATCCAAGGCTAAAAAATAATGGGGTTTGACAACCAAAAATAAATGCTTGCACCTCAATGTTTGGTCCGCCTCATGAACAATTTCAGCCACTGTATCTGGTCGTTTAAACTTCCGTTTTAGTCCCAATGCAGCCTGTAGTCACGCTTAAAAATCCATCTGGAATCAGTACACGTGCATGATCTATATGACTCAGCAGCTAAAATATGTTTCACTGCATTATGTCACGCTTACTAACCTCATTGGTGGCTGATATTACTGAAGCCTTCAGTTGGCTTATTAAATCAAATTCAGACTTTCAGGGAAATGTGTCGGTATATATAAACTAGGAGTTTCCAAACTGAACTTGTCCACAATTCTTCTGACAGATTCTTCAAGTCATATCTAACATCGATATTCAATTACCACGTGAAGGTCACGTCTTGTGCAATATTCGTTCATTTCATAGTTTATTCAATTCAGAAGGAGATGATAAGTGCCATGTTCGGAATGTTAAATCGTACCGTGGGGCTTTCGTCATCATACGCGGCAGTCCCGCTAGGGGGACGGGATTATCCCTTTCCTTTCTAATACGCGCACTGATTCGTAAACGAATTGTAATAGGACATCGTCAACACCGAAAAGTGTCCATTTTGTGGATGTCTAGAGTTCATATGAATCTTGTTATCTCTTACTGGCATGATAACGACCTGTGTGTAGTTATAGAGGCCGACAGAGAGGACACGAGAGGTAGTGTTTCATCACATTTCCAAACACCGAGAAGAGAGTTGAAAATACGACGCGCAGCGGAGCAATTCTTACGAAATTCGAGGTGTTTCGAAATGCGATGAAACACTATTATCTCACTGTCCCTGTGTGCAATATATCTTCTCAATCGAAAAAGAAACAAAATCGTAAAAATATATGCTAATTATATATAATTAAGATCAGATATCTAAGCCTCCGTCACGGTTATGATTTATTAATGAGATTGAGAAGGGGACAGGAACGTCACATATCCCATCTCCCTAATTTTTTGGCCGTCCCTCCCTCCTCCCTTTTACGCCGTTTCTCCCTCCACCCTTATTTTTCGGCCGTAGTCCCCTCTTTTAGATGTCGAATCAGTTTGTCTCTCCTTGACCAAGTATGTTTTGTTTTGTTTTTCTGTTAGGATAACCTTGGTTTCTATAGCCATGCACCAAAAATGAGATGATTTGTCGGTGATCCTAAGCAAGAACTGGACGCTGACTCGGGCGTTCCCTTTGGAGCTCACCAAGACTAACGGTATTTATTATTATATGCAGTGTACTAAACTTTTCTATCTGATCAACGCAAATTGTCATTCGTCGATTCTAGATAGATAGAAGATAGAAGATAGAAAACGTTATTTACGTGTCAAGCCTTCTAGCCTGGGAAAATCCCATACTAATTCAGGGACACACAGACAAAAAAATAGATACTAATCAAAACTGTAGTTGGCTTATAAAAGGTAAACTCGATCTCGAACCAATTAAAAACTCGTTGGCACGATCGATGGTATTACGCAGTCGTTTACTGAACTTTCATTGTAAAACAGTCAGTGTCTCTGTGAACTCCCAAACGTTGACCGGAAAGAACGTGAAATTAGCGAGCGGATCGTGGGCACGTGCACAATACTCGCCGCTCGCTAATTTCGCTCTTTTTTTTTTTTTAAACAAAAAGAGAGACTGTTTACAGCGTAACTGCCCACCAAACTCTCGCGCAGTGGACGAAAAGATCATTCATATAGTGGGCTCGGGAGGCCTCGCTGGCATGCGCTTATTCGGCCCTTTAGTGACTAACAGTCGGCAGACAGACAGCTGAACATTTCGACCTGTTTGTGTCTCGTCATCGTACAGCACGGCGCATAGCTAGAGCTCAGACAGGATTCCACAAAAAATATAGATATAGAACTGGTAATAGCGAGAGTCATTCCTTCATTCATTGCTCCAAGGGAGCAGAGATGGTGCAGTGGTGAGAGCACTCGCCTCCCACCAATGCACGGCCCGGGTTCGAATCTCGGACCCGGCGTCATAATGTGGGTTGAGCTTGTTGTTGGTTCTCATCCTTGCTCCGAGGGTTTTTCGCCGGGTATTTATTTATGTTGTTATGTTCCTAACTTTAAACCTTGATGTTATTTTTCCTTCAGTGGGAAGCATTAAGAAGACAACAGACCATCCATCGGGTAACTGATTCTCCCGATCAGACCTCAGAAGAGTCTCAGAAGTGCGAATCAGTTTAATTTGTCTTCTTGTCACGCTAGCTGTTTCTTTGGATCACCGACAAATCACTCATTTTGGTGCACGGCTATAGAAATCAGAACAACTCCAATTCATCGGAATGGTAAGCGTGTGGTTAATAATATAAACGACATACAGTCAACTCTCTCTTAACGGACACCTCTATAAAACGGACACTTTAGTAAGACGGAAACCTGGTGTTGGTCCATGCGCGCTGTTTTTCTGTATCTATTAGCCGGACAACCCTCTAAGACGGACAGTTGGTGCCGGTCAAGATGAGCCGAATCGAATTCGACGAATTAAGTTCATGTGAGGTACGGCGTCTGAATCAATTCGGAACGGCTGGATCAATTCGGATCGGCTCAGCCGTTCTTCCCGCCTGGCTCAGCCGAGAATAACGGCTGTGGACCGGCTTGATTCAGACGCCGTAATTTCACATGAGCCGAAACAAATTCATGAATGTATTTTTCAATATAACAGCAATCTTCGCCTATTAATTTAAGTTCGGCTGAATTAAGCTCGAAAGCTCGGCGTCTGAATCAATTCAATTCAGCCGGTCTAAATTAATTTGGGTCGGTCGGCCTAAATTCGAATTCGATTTCGGCTCATGTGAAGTACGGCGTCTGAACTGGGCCTTAGAGAGAGTTGACTGTAGTTCAACTCCCGTGATTAGCATGTTGATACTTAGATGTTCACGGACTTATTATTGTCTATGAAATGCTGTGATTGAGTTCGAAGTTGAGGCTCATTCATAAACGTTCGGCGGCAGCATGCTGCACAGAAAGAGCAGGTTTCAAATTCCCCGATGTTAATGGCGAAAAAAATAGTTTCTTCCTGAAAAACCCATACCAAATTTCAGACCAGAGTGCACAAAACACACCCTATTTTAGACCAAACTGGTTAAAAACCCACACCCTTTGGGACCGCAAAGCCCTCCGGGATGGAATACCCTTGCTACTACACACGTGGAAATGTTTTGATTGTTGCTTTGTTTTATTGTTTGTATCAGGAGCAGCATAACTCCTTCAATGATGCGTTCGACAAAGTGTCTAACTGGACTAACATACAAGGAACAAGAACCAAAAGGTATGGTGGAGCAGGTTTTCCAATAACATTAAAAATTAATTGTTTATCTGTTAACGCCGTGGACCGTAATTCAACACAATTTATATTTTTCTTTCCCTTTCTCCCTCTAGAGCGCTCAAATGGATTCGTCTGGAAATTACTCTCTTGACTGAAATCTGACGTCTTGCAACGGGTTGTTCAGCGTTCAATTAAGGAATACGAGCATCGGATGCCATTTTGTTCTTAATTACACGATGAGGAATCTAATAAACTATCAAATAACACTATTGTCATCATGTAAAACAGTCGAAACCGCCACTAACGGCCACGTCTCTACAACGGCCAGGATTTTTTCGACCCAACATACTTTTATTGCCTCTCTACACAACGGCCAACTCTCGACAAAGGACAGTTACCTCCACCCCATGGTAGACGTTATAGAGTGTCTAAGTGTTTAATTTTGGTTTCTTGCGGCTTACACTAATAAATAGTTCCCCTGTTTGCTGTCCGAACATTTTGCACTTCTCAGCTCAAGCGCGCTAGGCCACGCACTTCGTGCTTGTGTATACGGCAACACTGACTTACTAGGAATCTCTTCTCCCACAATTTTAACGATCTGAATGTCTCTGCTTGACAGATTTTAGCAAAAGAAAACAACTGCTCGTGGGTTGGTCGTTTTTCCTGCTTAGGATCACCAACAAATTATCTCACTTTTGGTGCATGGCCAGTATAGAAACCAAGGCTTTCCTAGCAGAAGAAAAACAGGCACACATATAGTAACTACAGCTCCGCAAATGATCCCCGACCGGAAATGATCCCCAAATTGGACCGCAAATGATCCCAGGACCGCAAATGATCCCCAGAATGGACCGCAAATGATCTCGCCTAAAAATCGAGGAACGGCGTGGACGGTGAACCCGATTTTTTTTCAACTTACGTCAACTTCGCTCTTTGTCATGAATTTGCGGGCCATGTATAAACATATCAGTACAGTCGACACCTTTATTATGAACAGTTCGCTTGCTCTATAATATTGTAACCTTGGGCTATTTGGTCCCGGGGAGACTAAAACTCATTAGAATCGGGGAAATATTCAGGTATAAAGAGGATTTCTGAAATACGACTTGCTTTCCACGAATGAACTACGAAAAATACAACACAGAGGCATCCTACGAGGAAATTTGAGCAAAAGACTTGGGAATGTCGTTCAGTTTCAGTTTCTCATATCATTTAGGGCATATTTGAGTAAACTAACACAGTTTGATATGTTCGGATTCTTCAGCTGAATATCAAAGTGACATTTTTAGGGAACGAAATCTAATTAGCCAAATTTAGGAGCTGCTGTTGCATTTCTGAAAATCCTATAGCTTGCCTTTTTGTGACCCAAAACGACATTTTTACCTCTCCGAAAAAGGCACTCGTTTTTCATATTACGAAAGTTCGAGGTGACAGTTTTTCGTTACACTTCATTCCAAATATCTAAGGTCCAGTTCAGACGCCGTACTTCACATGAGCCGAATCAAATTCGAATTTAGGCCGACCCAAATTAATTTAGATCGACTGAATTGATTTCAGACGGCCGAGCTTAATTCAGCCGAACTTAAATTAATAGGAGAAAATTGCTGTTATATTGAAAAATACATTATAATAATTCATGCATTTGTTTCGGCTCATGTGAAGTTCGGCGTCTGAATCAAAGCAGGTCCACAGCCGTTATTCTCGGCTGAGCCAGGCGGGAAGAACGGCTGAGGCCGATTCCGAATTGATTCAGCCGTTCCGATTTGATTCAGACGCCGTACCTCACATGAACTTAATTCATCGAATTCGATTCGGCTCATGTGAAGTACGGCGTCTGAACTGGGCCTAAGGCTATTACAGATATTCCACCGAAAGCCCTTGACAACAATACAGAGTTCACAACGTGGACATGACTTACGGGAAATAGTTTATTTGGCGAGATGTAACAGCACGCAATGCTAAGTATAAATATATTAAACTTGAAGAAATGGGGCCAAGGTTTTACAATTCTCATTCTTTTTAGTAGCTTAATCAGAAGATCTTTAAATGTCATAGATAACCTTTATAGTTTGAAACTGCTAACTGAAACATCGGACATAACATTCCTGCCCCCTTTCTTTATCTTTTCACGTGTACGAGTATTTTTGCCTGCACGTGCATAGGAACGTGACTCTGCACGTGTGATTTGGTTTTGCCTGCAAGTGGATATATATCGTAACTCCGAGTCTCGCCGGAATATATGCGACGAATATATATAGAGGATATTACACGGGCACGCGAGAGGCGAACGAAAGGTTGAGGCGCGAGGATGTAAGCTTTCATTCACAGCTCTTTCCGCCCGTTATTGTAAACTTTTATCGCGCCGATTTTCCCCGATTGACCTCGTCTCGCCCGACTTACTGCCTCTGGGTTTCCGAGGATGACCTCTCACGCGCTCGGAAAAGGAAAACGACTGCCGTACAGGAGCGAATCGAGCCGGAAGTAATGCTTTTCCCTCAGTCTCTCCCACTCCCCCTCTTCTCGTGCGCGCAGTTGCATTTACCTCTGTTTAAAAACGAGACCGGGTGCGAAAATGACTACAAACACTTGTCGAGTGGCTTTTCATCCACTTAGATTTGTATGGATTTGTATACCATGGTAACTGATAGTTGATGTTGAATTTCAAATAAAAATAAAAAAAATTAATTCGCATATTTTTCTATGGCGGAGTAACTGCAATTTAACTTGTAGAACAACCTTCAATTCCACTTTAAATATGTTACTTGCCGATTTAGGCTAGCACCAACTTTTAATTTATTTCTCCTACTCTTTTTGGTAAAACCCATGTGAGATTATTTTTAAATAATATATAAGCGCACAATTATTGAGCTGTTATAGTCAATCTGTAAACTGCGGTTAATATTAACCCGTTTTCCAACGTTAACCAGATACCGAATATTAACTTACTCTGAAAGACAAATGAAATATAATTTTGTTCCAAAGTAATTAAATCCATTTTAAGGGATAAAAATACTTCTCTTCCAAACCCACTTTGCGCATCATTAGTTACCACAAGTTTTTTCCCCGGCCTTGGACCCAGGCACAAAATAAAAGTTAACAGCTGAAATTGTGTTTATTTTCCATATTTTCACCTGTTTTGGTAAGTATGATTATTATTATTCCATTACATTTCGGCAAAAAGTTACAAGTGTGTCACAACTACAGACTTAGGGGATTTAATTTCATGGCGCATTTTTACAGTAACGAATTTGGATCAGTCCTATGGATCGATAAATTAGCCAATTAAATGTATAATATTATGTTACATAGAAGTGTGCATATACAGTATTACATTATGGGAAGAACCTAGCTATTTACATAAACTTTCAGCAAAACCGAGATGCATTCCGCTTAATTCTTGTCTGGCGTATGGGGCAACCGGACAAAAAAGTCTTACTGAATGGCGGAAGGCTGATTTTCAGGTCGGTTGCGTTGTACTGCTGCCATCTCTAAGATTGCGTGGTTTACTGGCTGCCTTAAGTGTAAAATCTCAAGAGAAGCGTGGCGTAACTTTTTGATACGCCAAAAGTAAATAATGGGGTTAACAAGAGAACTGGACATCGAGAAGGTCATAATCCAACTCCACACAACACTTCTAAAACGCGGTTCTAAAGGGTTATGCATAAAAGCCGTTAGCACAACAGCTATTATCGAAGGCGCCAGAGTCAA